CAGAGCTGTGATCTGAAGGCCCAGTAAGGGTTACCTTGTGGGAAGGAGAAAGAACATTCCAAGCGGAGGGAGTAGTTCCCCAAGATGGTGCAAAAACAGAAACCTCTGACAAAGGACTAAAAACAAGGCCCATGTGGCTGGAGCCACAAAAATGAATGGAAGATTAGGTTGGAAAGGGTGGGCAAGGCAAGCTTTAAGTAGGGGGATGTTAGGCTCAGATTTGCATTTTGAAAAAAATCACTTTGCAGTATGGAGAAAGGATTGGAATGTTTTTAAGATTTTTTTTTTTTTTTTGAGAGAGAGAGAGTGTGAGTGGGAGGGGCAGAGGGAGAGAGAGCATCCTTAAGCAGATTCCCTGCGGAGCAGGGAGCCTGACACAGGGCTCTATCCCAGGACCCTGAGATCATGACCTGAGCCAAAATCAAGAGTCTGCTGCTTAGCAGACAGAGCCGCCCAGGTGCCCCAGATTGGAATGTTAAAAAGGCTTGAGAGGAACTGTCAAATAGCTGGAGCACCCATAAGCAACTGATATGATTATTTAGAATAATCGTATCTATGTGTGTTTTAATATAAAGTTTAAACTAAATGAATATATACACACATAAATCATGCAAAATAGCAAATAGAACTACTACTATTAGGCTTATAAAAAACAGTAGTCCTCCGACCATCCCTCTCCTCATACCCCCTTGCACCTTCCACTAGGGATCCCTTCCTCCACTCTTAACTATTCTTCTGGTATTTACTACACCCCTCTTTTTTCTTTTTAACATGATTTGTTTAAAGTGCTATTTATTTTTTAGTTTTAAGCATTGTTTACTTTCTACTAGGGAAGAAAGAATTTCTTGATCTTACCCCATGTCCCACCATGCCCAAACTCTATTCTTCTCCTGCCAAGAGAGAACATTCAAAGCATTACTAGCATTTCCTTTTTATTCTTCCCATGTAAGAAAAATTACTCTGAATCATTCATTACCTGACAAATCCATCAATCAATAAGGACAGAACCACTACATTTCACTCTAAACTGATATCTTTGTGAGGACAAAAGTACCTTCCCTGTACATCAGTCATAAACATACTTGAAGCCATAGGACTTGTACCCCATTAAGTAAAAACTGTTCAAATTTAGAAGTTGGCACAAGAATCTTCAAGGAAATTACAGTTGAATTACATGTGCTAGTTCAAAGTCATAATAAAGCTATTTGCACTAGGAGGCCAAAATAATCTTTAAAAGACAAATGTTTTAGAAGAGAAGTGTTTGAAAGGTCATTAATTGATGAACTATATCATCCACCCATAGAGTAGTGAAATAGGCCTTTCTAATGCTGCTGCAGAGTGTGAGCTAGAAAACAAGTGGGTGATTCCCATGCAGAGTCTAAAACAAGTCAGATGTTTTGAATGTCCAATAAATCAATGCTAAGGAAATATTCAGATACAAAGATTTACGCCCAAGAATATTCACGATAGTATTATTTATATATATAATGGAAAACAATCTCAATGACCCCAAAGTAGGAAAATTATGTTACATCTATAGAATGGAATACGATAAAATCATTAAATTCATGCTTTCAAAGAACAGTTAACATCGTGGGAAGATGCTCATAATGTTAAATGAGAAGAACAGTTGAGGTCACCCTACATGTAAAAACATACACACATATATAAACATAGTATGTTTAAATATATATAAAATATCTATGCACACTCAATTTTTTTTTCAGTGCATAGAAAAAGAGTTTTTTCTCCCAGTGTGGTTTGCTACCCATATATCTCAGAACCCCCCAGACAGAGGGCTTGCTAAAAATGCAGATCCTTGGGTTCCACCCCTGACCAACTGAATTAGAGGCTTTGGAATCACAGCCCAAGGATTTTTGCCTACCTACACACCCTTGTCCACCCACGTACTACCTTGTCCGCCTACGTACTACCTTGACTGATACTGACTCACACCTTCATTTGAACACCACTGAACGAGAAGTAGTTGCTCTTGGGGTGGTAGAATTATGAGTAATCATCTTCTTTCTGGAATCCTTAAAAAAGATTATCTACCAAGTGTATGCTGCTTTTTATAATAAAATCTCATTAGAAGTATATTAATGAAGCATGGGTATTAGAAAAACAGAGCAGATCCGGGGTCTATTTGGGCAAGTCTAAACACCTTCTGAGAATTGGAAATCTAAAGTAAGCAGGTACCTATAGATTCCTGACAATTGGAAAGCCAGTTTTGGATAAGGAAAATACTAAGCATAGATATGGAATTCATTACGTCAATAAGTTGTACAGGTAAAAAATGTAAATTAATAATTTTGAGAAGTATTAGGTAATATTTCTCCGTGTTCCAGGATGTCCCTTGGCAAAAGAGGATTCAGTGATCAAATAAGTTTGGGGCACAATACATTTTCTAATCCACTCTTAAGAGTCATACAACCATGAGCAGATTACAGGCTCTGGGAAGTCCAATATAAGCTTCATTCTTAATTCTAGCTCCACCAATTCTTAGAATGTGTCCTACCATTAAGAACAAAATTCTAGGCCAGAAGAGAGCCCAAGAAGCAATTCTCACCATGGATCAATACCCTATGCTTGATTCATCCATTGTATCAATTTGTTCCCACATTCCCATGGTCTCTGAGGGCTTAGCCCATATATTGGTAAGGCCTGACTTTAGGGCACAGCTCAAGTCAGCTGCCAAATAATGCTCAAGAACAGCAAAAGAGAGTGCCAGGCTAGAAGATTAGAGTGTGTGAAGGACCTGTATATTTACTTTTGTTTTTCACTATCAGTATCTACCACCTAGACAGTGAGCCTGAAATTTTCTCTTATATTCACTTACGTAGTCCCAACACAGTAAAACCTGGCACTGGCACTTAATTGGTACTCAGTTGAACAGGGCACCACCAAGCAGGTGGTCAAAATTTTTTGGACAAATAGAGTAATGAAATGGGCTAGGCTCAGGTCCTAAACTTAAGGTCCTAAAGTTTATGCAGTCATGATATCAAGGCCTCATTTCATTCAATAAACATTTCTGAGTGTTTATTATGAATGGGTAATTCCAAGAATGCAGAGGCGACTAAGATACAGTCTTTACCCTCAGGAGCTCCATACAGTAGTACTACCAGCCATTCCTGGATGTACAGGTTTGGGCACACATTAGGCGTCTAATAAATGCTGGTTTTAACTGAGTTCAGAAACGAAGATACACTTTAAGCTGGTCAAACTTTGGTGGCCCAAGAGTCTAGAGTAGGGTAGAATCAGACCATTCTGGAAACTGCTTCAGAATGACTGAGATCTTGAGTAACTAGACCCATCTTGATTATCACTACTCTAGGGACTCTAGAACCATCCAGGAGTCAAAAGTTTTTATGAGAGAAGCCCCAGAACCCAAAAGAATTTAACAGTATATACCATGATAGAATTTCCAAATATGTCTACTATAAAACTCTCAAGGTTCCTGAAAGGTTAATAGATAGTATGTGGTGAAACACGACTGAGAAAGGGGTTCGAAACAGTTGACAGGCCCCTCTACTGCAGGACTTCTCAACACCTGTAAGCAATGTGCTACGTTCCGTTTATGCACTGTCTTATTTAATCTTCACAGCGATCCTACACAGTCTTATTATCTTTCCCATTTTAGAAATGAGCAAGCTGAAGCTCACAAAGAGTAAGTAATCTGCACCAGGCCACAAGGTACAGAATGGGACTCTGAAATCATGTCTTTCTGGCACCAAAGATGGGTTTGTGATCATTCAAGCAGTACTGTTTTTTGATATCGATGGGCGCTAGAACACCTCCAGAGGGACTCACAACATAAAGTGTTTCCCAAACTGTGATGAAGAAATCCTTTTGAATGAATCTGTGCTTGAGATTAGCTATCCATGTAATCCATTTTGAGAAATACTATGGGTAAAATGAGTCAGAGATATCCCATGGCAGACAGAAGGGAGGTGGCAGGCAGCTCAGAAGGAAAAGCTAGCTTATTAAAACTGTGCTCAAAGAATTATTAATAGGGACACATAAATTAAACCTCAGTTTAATAGATATGATTTCTTTACCTCCAGATTCGTAAGTTACAGTTCATGGCTCATTTCTGTCAAATATTTGATATGATATTACAATCCCAACATCTTCACTTAGCTAGTTCTCTAATGTTTGTTTCAAGAATTTGACTTAACCAGGGCGCCTGGGTGGCTCAGTTGGTTAAGCGACTGCCTTCGGCTCAGGTCATGATCCAGGAGTCCCTGGATCGAGTCCCGCATCGGGCTCCCTGTTCAGCAGGGAGTCTGCTTCTCCCTCTGACCCTCCCCCCTCTCATGTGCTCTCTCTCTCTCTCTCATTCTGTCTCAAATAAGTAAATAAAAAAAATCTTTAAAAAAAAAAAGAATTTGACTTAACCAGTTCAATTCATGTCACTAATTTTGATAAAGTATATTCCCATTGGGAGTGTAATTTTTAACTTTGCTGTGTATTTCAATAGGCCTACAATCTGCATTTTGGGGTGAGATCATTTTTCACTGTACAGGACTGACCCCAACTTTGTAGGATCTAGCATCCCCTACTGACTAAATTCTAATAGTACTCTTATCCAGCACCCCCTCCCAGTCATTTTGATAAGAAACATCCCCATAATTTCTATGGGAATGGTATCACCCCTAGCTGAGACCCACAGGACCAGAAATTTCCAAAAAAGCATTAATTGAAGGATAAACACCTACCTTGACCCTGCATTCAGTATTCCAGCAAACAAATCAAGATTTAATATGCTAGCTTCAATCCTGCACGTATAATGTCTCATTACATTTTTCTCTATTCTGTTAATGACGTGAACAGATTCAACAAACTGCTAAAACACCACTTTTAGCCAGGAAGGCTGAGCCTATGTACCTGCCAGCAACAGCAATAGAACGGGCAGAAGCAAGCCCAGGACTTTGTGGGGGTGCTGCCTTATATGTGAGGCAGCCGCCACACAACAGAAAGTATACCTGAATAGTCTATCGTTTTGTCAAATTTGGACTTTAAGAAGGATGCTGGTTTTTTTTTTCTTTTAAAAATGATTTATTATCAAAAAGCTTGCTCCCTCTCACTGCTGAGTCAGTCCAGCAATGCAGCTCTATCCTGTTGAGGATTATTAGGACCCAAATAATCTTAGACCAAAACCACAACCACAACCACCACCACCACCACCACAACCAACTTGACTATTGGTTCAGGAACATGTTCACAGACATGTGAGGATGCATTCTGGAATACTGGGTTCATTTCTTGATTGGAATGCCAATCACCATAAAGTCTTCTGCTAGAGTCACTTCTTGGAGATCTAACACCGATTCAGCTTGCTTTTTTAGTTCTACAATCCCATCTGTTTCTCCTTCTCTGGCCAAGGCAACCGGCTTGTACCTCTGACTGAAGTGAGTCAGAACTAGCCTCTTTGCTTGGCACAGCTTGGCAAATGCAGCTGCCATCTGTGGTGTGCTGTGGCCGTGCTCCTTTGCTTTGTCCATCTGACCATCATCTAGGGTTGCTTCATGGATCAACAGGTCTGCTTCAAAGCACAGCTTCACTCCTCCATCACCCACAACCCCAGAACAGTCCCCCAAAATGCAGATTTTTCTTCCAACAATAGGCTTTTTTAAGACATCTTGGGGAGAAATTGTAACTCCATTTTCCAGAACAACAGAAATTCCATTTTTCAGCTTCCCATAGGCAGGACCTGGTGGCACACCTAATGATGGAGGCAGATAACATCACATTATGGGACTGGAATTTATGACTTGTTAAGAGAGTCTAACAGCACAGCAAACGGAAAAGGCATCCAATTCTTTTCATAATTGTTATAAATATTTTACTACTCATGGAAAGCTGGAATATTTATACATTTTTAAAAGTTCAGTGTTGGCTATTGATATTAGTGATGCCCTACTACTTAAAACATTTCCCAAGCACATGTGTCAGACGAGCTTTAAGCTTTTAAGTTCCACTAAGACTAAGACCTTCTCATAGTCAAGCTACCAGCTTTGATTCTCTGCTGTGAATGGAGTAACAGTTTTTGAGACTGCTTTACTTAAGCTCATGTTTGAGTAAACTTAATGAGTCCATTTAAATAATAACAAAGTACCTACAGACTAACTTAATAAAAAAATGGTTTGAGAGGATCATTTGGATCACAAGATCAAGGAGCATTTCTGGCAATCATACATAATCAATCTCTGTAGGTTTGGTAAACCTTTTATTAATTACCTTATATTCATCTAGAACAACATGTGACCATCACTCTGAACAACATCTATAAACAAACAGAATGTGTTCACTAATTCCAGCATGCGTCATTTTAAAGTTTCCCAATATAATTGTATTTTCACAGGTTTTTAGGTAAGAAAAATACCTTTGCCTAAGTCATTTCTCTTCATTATTTAGTATTTTGTTTTAGTTGGAGAAGAAGGAAGAGACTGCATAAAGAAACAAATACACAAAACACACCATCATGCTTTTTATGGGCTCTGCGGTGGCCATGACAAGGAAGGAGGTGATGCTACGGACAGAAGGGACCTGGACGTTGCTTCGAGAGAGGTGAAGACCCCTCATGCACAACGGCCTGGCACGGAGGAGGTACAAAGCCTCAGGGGGGGCCCAAGTCTGTCTCTGCGTGCTGGCTCCCGCCTACGAGGAGTTTGAAACAGTTAAGGCGTGGTGTTCTGAACACCAGATTAACTTAATCAAGGTTGAATGAGTAGGCAAGGTTGATCAAGAAGGAAAACCCTGAAAGTAGCTGGTTGCAGTTGCATGGCTAAGAACTGTGACAAAAATTCTCAGGGCAAAGAGGTCACTGAAAACATACTTCAAAAGGAAGACATGAAAACATAAAAGCCTAGACCTAAGACAACCACCACCACCCTGCCAACCAAGATAGCTAGCTAAAAATATGGATCCAGGGAGCTGAAGAGAAAAGGATTCACATATATACTTGGGTTTTGGTCTGAATAGCATCTTTTAGCCCCACATATTTCCCTTAATAAACAAACTTTAGGCAAAATAAGCGGAGAAAATATCAGTTTTAGGCCTGGGACACAGGAAAGGAAGGTTATTATGATACTTCTAGCAGCCTCAGCTAACAACAGCTTAATTGATGAGGAGGAGGGAAAAAAAAAAAACAAAACCCACCACTTACCGAGGTCTTTTAGTTTCTGTGCATTGAGTTTACCTGGGCGTTTCTTCTCCACAACTGAAAACCCAAAGGAAGGAATTCGGTGAAAGAGGCGAAATGCTTTTACAACAAACTGTTCGTCATCAACCAGAAGGTATGAGTTTTCTTCTGAGTCTAAAAGGATAGTTCTTCCTTGTCCCTCTTTGGGATGGCTGTCTGTTTTATTCACGTGCATAAATTCTTTTAGTTCTTCTGTAGGACACTGATCTGCTGTAGGCACCAGCTCGTGGACCACATAGGGGAAGACCAACTCTGTGTGAGAGAGTTCCATGGTTCTCCAGATAAAGTCTCGAAGCCCAGCAGGGCCATAGATTTCAATAGGCTGTTTGGTGACCACAGAGCCACTCTGCAGGCTGATTGTGCAGAGGAGGCCAGGAAGGCCAAAGAAATGGTCTCCATGAAGATGTGTGATGAAGATCTTGGTAATTCTCCCTTTTGATTGAGGCAGAGAAATAAAATTGGGAATTTTTCCAGAAGTAAAAACCCATACAATGCTACTTAAAACATGTATAACAACTTACATAGAAAGCAGAAAAATGAATTTAGAGTTCTATTTATCACCATAAACTTATTTCTTTGTATTTTGCTACATGATTCTAGAAGCAAGAAAGACAGGCTTTATGGTTTTAATAAGATACAACATTTTTCATAAAAGATCTTCAAATTACATAGTATTGCAGTTTTAAGAATATTTTCCACAGTATGGAGGTTCCTCAAAAAGTTGAAAATAGAGCTACCATACGACTCAGCAATTACACTACTGGGTATTTACCCCAAAGATACAAATGTAGTGATCCGAAGGAGTACGTGCACCCCAATGTTTATAGCAGCAATGTCCACAATTGCCAAACTATGGAAAGAGCCAAGATGTCCATCAACAGATGAATGGATAAAGAAGATGTGGTATATATATACAATGGAATATTATGCAGCCATCAAAAAACCTGAAATCTTGCCATTTGCAACAACGTGGATGGAACTAGAGGGTATTATGCTAAGCGAAATAAGTCAATCAGAGAAAGACATGTATCATATGATCTCACTGATATGAGGAATGTTTAATCTCAGGAAACAAACTGAGGGTTGCTGGAGTGGTGGGGGATGGGAGGGATGGGGTGGCTGGGTGACAGACACTGGGGAGGGTATGTGCTATGGTGAGTGCTGTGAATTGTGTAAGACCGATGAATCACAGACCTGTACCTCTGAAACAAATAATACATTATATGTTAAAAAAAAGAGAGAGAAGATAGTAGGAAGGGAAAAATGAAGGGGGGGAAATCGGAGGGGGAGACGAGCCATGAGAGACTATGGACTCTGAGAAACAAACTGAGGGTTCTAGAGGGGCGGGGGTGGGGGGATGGGTTAGCCTGGTGATGGGTATTAAAGAGGGCACGTATTGAATGGAGCACTGGATGTTATATGCAAACAATGAATCATGGAACACTACATCAAAAACTAATGATGTAATGTACGGTGATTAACATAACAATAAAATAAAATAAAATAGTATTTTCCTACATATCTTCTTGCTGAAAGAAAGAAAAGAAAAGAAAAAGGAAAAATAAGAAAGTGTACTAAAATAGTTCACTTTAACTAGATAGGCCTCAAATGTCAAAAGCATCTGACAGTTACAATGCCCTCTACTGCTTCCTCTGAGCATAACGAATATATACTTCCAGTAAAACAAATGTTCCCCCAGCTCCAACTTGACCAACACCTGAACCCCAAACTGCCATTTAAGGACTCCAGACTGGACAGAGATTAACTAACCAAGAAAGAGCCTGCCTGTCTGAGTGAGTTTGAAGGGGGAGGAGAAAAAGGAAGACGATGAGGCAGGAGGGAGAAAGAAGGGGGTGGGAGAGGATGGGGTGAAGAATTCAGAGGGGAGGTGGGCAACAGATGCTAGAATGTAGATCAGAGGGCAGATCCCCTATAGTGTTATATAAAGGTATGTGGGCCCATACCTTCTTTCAGTGTGAGCTAACCCAATGTCTTTTTCAGTGCATATTGGCCTCGGTTGTAACTTGACTTAGCCATTGGTAAACTGAATTTATTGTTGGTATGTGGCAGGATGCCACATTAGCATTTTTCTGAAATTCACCAAGGCATTTCAAAAGTAACAATCACAATTAACACAATTTTAGTATAACTGAGGCTTCTGGTCCTCGCCTCATGGACCACCTATTTCAAACATTTGATACCATAAAAGAATAGGTACAGTTTATTATTATCATAAAAGAATAGGAATAGTTTATTGTAAAGTGACTTGTCTAGTGACATCAAGGCAAAAGTATTCTCCAAGTAAGCCTTCCAGAGTTAATACACCAAACTCAGGCCCCGGTGGTAGGGAACCATAGATTGGGCAGAGGCTGATTTGAGATCTGGAGAATGCTGAAGCACTCTAGAAGTTTCCTCACTATGCTCCTTTTTGTTTTGTTGAGGGTACTCCATTCCAGGCCTTGCTTTTACTGTCTTTTGACTTCTTGGAACCCTTTCATTCCCCCACCCTTCCTGCTGTCCAGGCTGCTGAGGCGCCCGTAAGTGTGACCTGAGGCCTCTGCAGACAGAAGAACTATGATGGTTATTGAGTCATGACCTCACGCTGACCTTACAAATGCCAAGTCAGACGTGCTGGGCCCTCTCCCTATCTAGTGCACAACAAAGCCAACACTGAACACCAAGACAATCTGTGAGCCCAAAGCAAGTGAGACAAATAAAGTAAGTCAAAAATTGCTTCCCACAGTTACCACAGTTTCAGAGAACACAAACATTTCATTTTTCAAGAAACTTGATTTTGGAGGGAGAAGGAATGACAACCATAATGATCAAAGTTAGGAGATGCTATCACATGAAGAAAGCAGAGTACATGAATTCCCTTTCACTTGGGAACAAGAAAGTTTCCAGGGTATACATCATCCACAGAGAAGTGGAATACCAAATATCCCCTAAGTAAGGATGCAGTTACATTTACTGTCGTAGGAAAATGTATGCAATATAATTGTTTAGTTGAAAAAAAAGCAGGTTACACCTAGTATGATACCATTTATGCAAATTGTACACACACACAAATACATCTGTACCATTAACATATCTACAACTACAAAAAATTTACCTATAAGGTAATTTTACCTATAAGGGGAAATCAGGCTTTTCTTATGTTTCTGCTTTGTTTGAATTTTTACAATGAGCATGTATACCTTTTTTTTTTAAGTTTTTATTTATTTATTTAAGTAACCTCTATACCCAATGTGGGGCTCAAACTCACCACCCCAAGATCAAGAGTTATACGTTCCTCCAAGTGAGCCAGCCAGGCGCTCTGTATGTATACTTCTTATAATCATTTCATTACACTTTTGTAATACTTTTAATAATCATTTTTAAGGGAAGAAAAAGGCGTAAGCTCACTCTTTAAAATTATGAAAGAAATAGACATGACAAACCCATATTTGCTAATCAGATGCTTGCACATTAGGACCAAGGAAGCTTAAAAGAAGTGTGTTTAGATAAATAAAAAGTACTTCCTTATAAAACTCATGAAATATTATTACCCCAGGAGGAGTATAAGCTGAAAGGGTTTCAATGAATCAAATAATGATAGGTCCATACTGGGTTGAGAATAATCCAGATGAACTGAGGGTACTCCATTCCAGTTTGAGACTGGGGACTTTTGAAATGCTACAGAGTCATAGATAATGTTCTGTGATTACCATCTTACCCTCCTCTCTGAGGCCAGAAATTTTTTTAGCCAGTAAGAATTTTAGTGACTTTTCTAACCAGTCAAATATGGCACAGGGATACAGTGTGATTACATTATAAGATTGCATCTTGAGAGCAGGCTTACTCTTGAGTTTCTTTCTCCCTGGCTGGCAGTAAGGAATCAAGCTACCACTAAGCAAAACCCACATGATCAGGAACCAGAGGAGGCCTCTAGGAGCTGTGGCAGCCTTGGTGCTACAATTGTAAGGATTCTGCCAACAACCCGAGTGATCTCTGAAGCAGATTCTTCCCCACTTGAGCCTCTGATGAGATCTCAGCCCTGGCCACCAAACACAGATTGCAACCCAGTGAGACCCTGAAGCAGAGAACCCAGCCAACCCAGGCCCAAACATCCTGGCCCACAGAAACTATGAGATAATAAATGTAAATAAGATACTAAATTTATAATCTGTTATGCAGCATTGATAACTGATACAGGTATTAAATAACAAGTAAAGACTTATCCCCACACTTAACAGTTTCTTGTTTCTGTTTTAATCATCCTACCACCTCAATCCCTACTGTCTAAAATGTGAAATATTACAGCCTCCACTCTAGCCTGTTTGTCCCTAAGAGTTCTCATGAAAGGAATCCCTCTGTGATCCAAGTAAATAAAGCATAGTATCTGTCCTCACCTCAGGGTCTTAGGTTGAACTGTGTACACCTCAAGGCCATGAGTCCTAACTAATATGCATTAGTTCCTTCCTCCAAAGCTCTGTTCTTGACTTCCTATTTGGGTCTGGGACACCATAACTGTAATTTGCAGTCCTTCACTTCTTCACATCCTAGACATTCAATCAGTTACCACCCCCTGCTAGTTATATAAGTATTTCTTAAATTGAGTCTCTCATCTTCATCCTTGTCCCTACTTTCTGCTTCAACAGCCTCATCCCCTCTTCTCTTAGATGAATGCAACTGCCTTAAAACTGGTCTCTCCCAGGGCGCCTAGGTGGCTCAGTCCATTAAGGATCTGCCTTCAGCTCAGGTCCTGATCTCACGGTCCTGGGATCAAGCCCTGCATCGCGCTCCCCACTCAGCAGGGAGCCTGCTTCTCCCTCTCCCTCTGCTCCTCCCTGAAGCTTGTGCTCTCTCTCTATCTCAAATAAATAAAATCTTAAAAACACACAAAAACAACTGGTCTCTCCCAGGGGCACCTAGGTAACTCAGTTGGTTAAGCATCTGACACTTAGTTTCGGCTCAGGTCATGATCTTAAGCCCCAAGTTGGGTTCCACACTCCGTGGGGAGTCTACCTGAGATTCTCGGTCTCCCTCTGCCCTGCCCCCTGCTCACTCTCTTTCTCTCTCTCAAATGAATAAATTAAAACAAAAAAACAAAAAAACAAAAAAATGGTCTCTCCCAGTGTATTTGCCATAGAAAAACTCTGTCCTAAAACACAAATCAGACCACGTCATTCCCCTGCTAAGAAACTTTTAATGGTTCCTTATTGCCAACAGAATAAAAAGGTCCAAATACCTTAGTAGACCATGGAGGACTTCATAGTCTGCCCTCACTTTTTCCCAGCATTTTTCTCTCTCATCTATCCTGGCCCACCACTCAATGATTTGGATGGTTTAATATTCCCTAAACATGTCACTTGTCTTCTGGAAATTCTATTACTTCTTGCTCACTTCATTGTCTGTTCCTTGAATGTCCATCCCTACTTTTCTCCCTGGAGAAACTTCTAATCATCTCTTAGATCCTAGCTCTACTCTGACCATTTCTGGGATGCTTTCTCTGAACACACAGCTAAAGTCCTCCTCCTTTGTGCTCCAAAAGTATTTAGAAAACAGTTCCACTGCTCTCTTTATCACATTACACTAGGTCTGTTTACATATCAGTTTCCACCACTAGAATAAGAGATCCTTGGATGCTAGAACTAACTTTATTTTAGTCATCAACACCACACACTGTGATGAATCACAGGAATAATTTCAATAACTATCATTTATCAAGACCTAGTAAGTGAGGAACACATACTAAGTGCTGAACACCTTATTCATGCATCAACTGAAGAGATATTTATTAGGCATCTACTAGGTATATATATGATCCTTGAGCTTACTTTATCATACAGGGAAATACACAGTAAACACAGAAACAACTATTTAAATAACAATTTTAGATATTGATGCTAAGAAATCAATAAAAATAGCACAAAGAAGCAGAATGCCTGGGATGAACAAGGAATTACTTAACCCCAGAGGTTCAGGGAAAGCCTCTGAGAAGATGGTATTTGAACTAAGATTTAACTGAGAGACAACCGTACAGAGAAGGGATTATTATATATAATGCTTATAACATCTCTCCTAAGTTGAGCTTTTATCTTCATTTTCAAGATGAGGAAAATAAAGCTTAAGTTCGTTGATCTGCGAAGGCCACAAGCCAAGACAACTGGGACTGCAACCCAGGCTGGTCTGACTCTGGGCCAAGGCTTTGCACCGCTGTACTCCTTGGCCTGGTGGAGTACTCTGGGGGGCCTTTGCTCACACCATTGCCTCTAGCTGGCATGCTTATCTTCTCCCCAGCCCAGCGAATCCCTCCTCCTCCTTCAACAACTCACGGGTCACCTTCTTTGAGATACCTCCCTGATAATCCCAAATGAAAAAGAACATCTCACTCTCCCGAACATCTATTGTTCTTTGTATCCTCTTGTGATACTTACAACTACCTCCTGGTGGAAATAAGTATGTACACTGCTCCTTTGCTTCTGGAGTATCCATGTAATATGCCTCATGTATCTCACTCCATCCTCCACCCCCCAGGCTTATATAAATCCTTGCTCTCAACCTTCATAGGAAGAACAAAAACTAAATAAATAAAATTCAGTGGGTGTGGCCAGATACCTCAGGGCCTTCCAAATCTTGCCAGGGCTCTAGCACTGAGGTGGGATGCAACTGTCAGGGCTGTTTCTGAGCAAAAGGCCCTAGCAGAGCCAAGACAATGAATAAGAAATAGTCTTAATGAGATAGCCGAATGCACACTAACCTGCTTTAAGTTGGCTTTTCATAAGCTGTGTCTGAGTCCCCTCCCCACAGTCAAAGAGCCAGCACTCGCCCTCACACCGAAGGACCAGAGCAGAGGCACCCCGGGTTGGGGATGGGTATGCTGCACCCGTACCCAGAAATGTCACATCCATAGACATCTTCCACCCTGCAATGAAAAGATCATGCAGGGATTATTACACATCACTGCTCAAAATCACCAAAAACACATTCTTGTGAGATTTACTGTTATTTACATTATCTATAAATATTATTTATAAAATATTCAGAAGAGACAGAATTCTTGTTCTCTAATAGTTTTCCAAAGAAATACCAAGTAAGATTTTAGTAACTCTTAGTGAGTTAAAACCACAAGTTACCAAACTTTGTATGACTGCTCACACACACAAAAACAAACAAGTTAAAAAACTGCAAAATCCAGTCAACTAAAAACTATTGTTGAATCTCAACTATCTGATATTCTGGAAAAGGTAAAACTATGGAGATGGTAAAAATACCAATGGTTGACAGTGGTTTGGGGAGAGGAGGGAAGGACGAATAGGTGAAGGACAGGGGAGGTATACTTGTTACTAGTGGTGGAGGTATATATTACTTTTATGTTTTGGGAGAGTAAGCTGGCAATATATATTACCAATAATAATGATGCTGCTAATAACACATTTTAACCCAGCAACCCCATGTTTTGGACTCTACCCTACAGAAATAAAGGACCTATATACAATGATGTTTCTGGTGGTACTTTTAAGGTGGCTAAAATTTGGAAGCAATCTGAATATATTTCAATAGGGAAATGATTGAATATTTTATTGTACATTCATTCCATGAACTATTTATTCTGCAGTTAAGTCAGGTCTGTAAATGTTGTCCTGGAGGGATGACAATGAGGAAAGTTATAGATGGCTATGGCATAATCTCATTTTTACAATGCCCTGAACCTCTGCATATACCTAAGACAGAGAAGATCTGCGTGAAAGGATACACACCATATTGTTAATATTGGTTATCTCAGGGGTGATTAAAATGGTGATGGTAGGGAGTGGTTTTCTTTTAAATCTCTGGATTGGTTTTGGTTGCAATGAACAATATTTGATGTCTTTATTTTATTTATTTTTTTTATTTTTTAAAATATTTTATTTGACAGAGAGAGACAGTGAGAGGGAACACAAGCAGGGGGAGTGGGAGAGGGAGAAGCAGGCTTCCTGCAGGGCAGGGAGCCAGATGCGGGGCTAGATGCGGGGCTCAATCCCAGAACCCTGCGATCACGACCTGAGCCGAAGGCAGACGCTTAACGACTGAGCCACCCAGGCGCCCCTTATTTTTTAAAAGATTTTATTTATTTATTTGACAGAGAGAGACACAGCGAGAGAGGGAAGGGGGGTGGGAGAGGGAGAAGCAGGATTTCCGCTGAGCAGGGAGCCCGATGTGGGGCTCGATCCCAGGACCCTGGGATCACGACCTGAGCGAAAGGCAGACGCGTAACGACTGAGCCACCCAGGTGCCCTGATGTCTTTATTTTAAATGTATTTTATATTTAATTTATTTAATATTATTTAAAAGAAATGTGTCATAAGGCTGAACATTTCTAACTACACATCACCTAATCTTTCTTACCATTTGGAGATACAGTCAGCCCTCCCACCCCCTCGCCCCACACACACCTCACACTCACAGATGGTACATCGCTCCAACCCATGCACAGGTTTTAGGTAATTGCTAGTGTCCCTTCCATGTGTTATGCCACACTTTCACTTCCAAGATCAAGCCTTCCTCTGATAATTAGGTAATTTAATTTGCAGAGGCTTTCCTGTTGGGATTGCAGTTTGCAACAGAGGTGAGAATAACAGAATGTAGAAAGTTAAACATTTTAAAAGCTAATAAATGCAGAAGGAATAATAAAATATAATCACTTTGCAATCCTTAACAAATAATGTATCTAGGCCACTGGTACGGAACCCTGAAGCATATTAGAATCACCTGGAGAGCTTTTAAACCTTATCAGTAATTGGGCTTCATCACAGAACAATTAAAAAGGAAATTCTGCAAGTAAGACATGCATTTTAGTATTAAAAAAAAAAATTCTTCCCCTGTGATTCTAACGTGCAGTCAGGTTTGAGAATCACTTGGTGAAAGGCTAATGGAGAACTACAAAGGACAGATCAGGCTGACCTGAATTCACTAGTCAAGTAGTCAGTCTTAAAAAAAATTTTTTATTATGAAAAATTTCAAACACAAAAGTAGAGAGATTAGTGTAATGCATTACCATATAACCACCACCGAGCTTCAACAATTATCAACTCATGGGCAATCTTGTTTGGTCTATATCCTCCACCCATTATCCAAAAATACTTGATAAGTGGTATTTGGTACTTCCATCAGGAAGCACATGCTACTGGCTGTCTCTCTCTTTCTGATGTTAACAGCCACTAATGTTCATTGCCAGGATTCACTATTTCATTAGAGGTTGCCAAAAGGTGATATTCTCTCATGCCTCTGAAGTTATTAGCTGGCATCCTTCTGTAAATCCTCAAGTAGTCACCCTGCAGTGCAATCTGTACAGAAAAGGTCCACTGACCAATCTTAACACCACAAAGAGAAACAAGATCTTATCTAACTCCTGGTGTGCTGCAGTATGAAGTACACAATAACCCTATGAGGTTTTCTTGCCAAAAAGTAGAACCTGAATCTGAAAAAAACTGTAATCTAAACACCAGTTTATTAAAGGACACCACAGGGATGGAAGGAGCAAAATCCAGTTATGTAGGAAACTTTACAGAACAAATTAACAGTTTGTTTGTTTTTTTTTTTTAACAAGTAAAATACAAGGGAAAAAAATCGAGAAGCCATAAGGAGATTAAATGAAGTAGAAAAGACGTGAACCAAACGGGGCATGTGTAGTTTGTTTGGACCTCAATTTGGACAAACTGAAAAAGAGAATTGGGAGAAAAGGAGACAACTGGGGAAACGTAAACGCTGACTGGATAAATGATAACATGAAATGCTTATTAAATTGATAATGGCTTTGTTTTAAAAAGGAGTTATTGTTTTATAAACATAAACAAGTATTTTGCAGATAAAATGGTACATTCAGATTTGCTTTCAAATAATCCAGTGAGGTGAGGGTTAACAGATGAAACAAGATTGATCTTATTTTCCTATGTTTGCAAGTTTCCATAATAAAAAGTTTAAAAATGAGCCAAATAATCAAAATCCTTCCAAGAGGTCGGGAAGGAATCAGAAATTAATGTATTTAATCAATGGTTCATGTTTTGTGACATGCCCCATTCGAGGCACCAAGAATTAAAAGTAACCAGACAAGATTTGGTCCCGGTATTCTTGAACATAAAACCAGCCGCTTGCTTTCTCACGGCTATGATCCACCCTGGATCAAGTGCACATTCCGGTCGAGAGCATAGCACACGACCACATACTGTCACCTGACACTCCCCGGGCCAGTGGTTCTCGTCCCGGCTGCACATCACAATCACCTGGTAACTCTGGGGACTCAGCATCTGGAAGGCTTCCCAGATGACTCTAAAGGCGGCCAGGTTGAGAACCAGTTTCCATACAGGCAGCGCCAACCCTGCCATCAGCCCGTGGTGCAGGGAGGGCGGATACTGCCTTCCTCCATTTTAGAGATGAAAGAACCGTGGCCCGGGAAGAGACAAATGGAGAGGCCAAGGCCGAGTCAGGGCCAGAGGCCAGGTCTCCGACCACCTGCGAGCCCAGGCTCTCCCCCAAGTCAATGTCTGTCTCCCGAAGGAGGGGTGGGCGGCGGCAGGGGCGCGGGGCGACTGGGGGCTCCCGCCTCGGGGTCGGGGGTAGACAAGGCGCGTCCTCGCTCGCCGGCGCTCCCCGGGCCTGGGTCCTCCAAGCCGGGCCCGACCCGCGGGTCCGGAGGAAGCCTGCCCGCCCGCGCGGCTCGGCCCACACGGCGGACGCGGAGCAGGCGGCGGCGCAGACCCTGGCCCGCCCCTCTCTGGCGCGCCCTGTCCCACTCACCCACTCCCCGAGGCCCGCGGCAGGAGCCGAGGGAGGCGCAGGCCCGCAGCAAGGCCAAGCCGTCCACCGGGCGGCGCCGGCGCGGGCGGAAGTGCGCCGCGGGCTGTGACCGCCTGTGGCCGCTCTAGGACGCGCCGGAGGTCCGCGCTCAGTGGTGCCCGGCCGGGCCGGCCTGGTGGGCTCGGCGCTGACTGCAGGCGCCTTCTTGGTCCCCACTGGTTCCCCGTCCGCCTTCACTCGCCCGCACAATTCTCCGGGTGAGGTGGTAATGGTCACTTGTGAGGACCAGAGCCCCCAAAGGGGGAACGTTTACTGTTCTGCTTTTTGTTTTTCCGTGTAATGTTTTCCAGCGTGCTCCTCGAAGAGTGTTGTCCCCGATACTTTGTTCCTGCATGTTTGTGTAATTTCTAGTCTTTCGCTGGGATGAATCTTTCTCTTAATCACTAAATCTAAACGTTTAAGTCAGCGATGCTGTAAGAAAAAGCGATGTGCCTTTGAATCAGAGTTCATAGCAGCATTACTATAGATCCCGAGTCTCCGTTCTATTCCACTTTATTTAGGGATAGGCTGGAATATGCGCTTTCACACAAGCACTGCGGGTATGTTCTCTTTGGGCACAGCATAGCCTGCTGGACGCGCGAGTGAAAAGCCCGGGCCTGCTTTGTGCAGAAACTGCACGTGGTGATTACCACCAGACAAAAAACTCGGTTTAAATTCCAACTTAAAAAAAAAAAAAAAAGGGTATTTCAAGCTCCTATGCAGTGCCAAATGGCACTGATTTTTGCTCGACATACTTGAGGTAGTCAAAGTATCCAGCAGCTTCATAACAGGAATAGAGGTGCTGTGCCTGCGGGGTCTTTGAAACCACCAGAAGAGAAGGATCAAGAACCATTTTGCCCCACCCCATTTGCTTTGCCCAATAGACCATTACATATTTTACTTTTTGGCCTCTTCAAAGCCTTAATTCAAGTATTAATTGAGCTCTAGCTTTGTGGATCATATTAGTTTTGAGGCCGAAAGAATTTTTTAAGTATGATACGGCCCCTGGTTTTAGAAGCATGCACTGAGGCTGGAAAAGTATGTGTTGGGAAGCCACCAACTAACAATATGAGGGAACAAATGAGAAGACAAAATGAGTGATAAAAATCTGGAAAAAGGGAGATTAGTGGATATGCAGTTTAGTTAAAAAGTGGGGCTTGAGCTGGGTCTGGGTCTGGTAGGATGATTGAGGCTTGGATTGGTGTTGCCAAAATGGAATGATAAATTGGATTTGGTCACGTGGGGTCTGACTTAGTCAAGTATTAAACACCAGAACTTGAACTTTATTTATCCTGACACCTGCTTGGCTAATTGGCTCAATTAGCTTGGCTAATTGAAGACGTACGTCATTCCACAGCTAGGTCTTGGTCACAACTGAGCTAGGATAGGGGTTGTCCACAGCAGTACTCTCCACAGACTCATCCATTCTGGAGCTACCTGCCTACCCATCAAGGCTTCCTACAACTCCTCTTCTCAGGGTTGTTATATCTTTAGAGAATCATGGATAGAACTTTTTGTTTATTTTTAAAACTTTTCATTATATGGGAAATTTTAAACATACATGAAAGTTGAGAAAATGTCTAATGAACCTTTATGTATAATGATCACTCACCTTCATTAGTACCATCTGGTTCATCTTGTTTCACCTACAACCAAATCCTTCCCCTTCAAAGGCAACAAAAACCTGGATTATTTTAAGGCAAATTCCAGACACAATATCATTTTATCCATAAATACTTCTATAAGCATTTAAGACTCCTTTTTCTGGTAAAGTCTCCTCACTACATAATGATGGTGGGCAGTTTAGTATATAAATATAAAAGATAAGTATTATTTATTTATTTTTATTTAAGTAAGCTCCATGCCCAGTATAGAGCCCAATGGGGGCTTGAACTCATGGCCCTGAGATCAAGACCTGAGCTGAGATCAAGAGTCATCACCCAACCTACTGAGCCACCTAGGCACCTCAAGATAAGTTTTTTGGTGTTTGTTCTTTGCTTTAAAGATTTTTTTATTTATTTGAGAGACAGAGAGAGCATGAGTGGGGGGAGGGGCAGAAGGAGAGGGAACAGGAGAAGAAGACACCCTGTTGAGTGGGGAGCCAACATGGGGCTGGATCCCAGGACCCTGAGATCATGACCTGAGCTGAAGTCAGACTTTTTTTTTTTTTTTTAAGATTTTATTTATTTATTTTTTGACAGAGAGAGACACAGCGAGAGAGGGAACACAAGCAGGGGGAGCGGGAGAGGGAGAAGCAGGCTTCCCGCTGAGCAGGGAGCCCTACGCGGGGCTCGATCCCAGGACCCTGGGATCATGACCTGAGCCGAAGGCAGATGCTTAACGACTGAGCCACCCATGCACCCCTGAAGTCAGACTCTTAACTGATTGAGCCCACCCAGGTGCCCCAAGATAAGTGCTTTTTTTTTATTTTTTAAAAAGATTTTATTTATTTATTTGACAGAGAGGGACACAGTGAGAGAGGGAACACAAGCAGGGGGAGTGGGAGAGGGAGAAGCAGGCTCCCCACTGAGCAGGGAGCCCGATGCGGGGCTCGATCCCAGGACCCTGGGATCATGACCTGAGCGGAAGGCAGACGCTTAAAGACTGAGCCACCCAGGCGCCCCGATAAGTACTTTTTTAAATACAACAATAAAATTATCGTAAAAAGACAATAATTCCTTAACATCAAATATTCATTCATTGTTTAAATTTTCCTGATCATCTCATAACTTTTTGAGCCTCATTTGTTCAAGTCAGAAAATAAAAATATACAATAAAAACATTAAAAACTCTTTTAGAAAACTTAACTACAATGTTATTATCTCACCTGACAACCTGTTAAAACACCCAATTACTTATGAATATCATCTAATAACTGTTCAGTGTTCAAATTTCCCTAATTATACCTAAAGAGTCTCATATGTAGGTGGTTTGTTTGAATCAGTATTCAAAAAAGGTTTACACTGCATTTAGTATAAGTTTCTAAAGTTTCTTTTGAACTTTTTTAAAAAGATTTTTTTTTAATATATTTTAGAGAGAGAGAGAGCACAAGTTGGGGGAGGAGCAGAGGGGGAGGAGAGACAGGGAGAGAATCTCACGCAGACTGTGCTGAGTGCAGAGCCCAACATGCAGCTCAACCTCACAATCCTGAGATCATGACCTGCTGAAACCAAAAGTCAGATGCTTAACCAACTGAACCTCTCAGGTGCCCCTCTTTTAAACTTTAATAGTCTCTTTTCCCTCTCCTTTTTTCTGTAATTTTTTTGTGGAAGAAATTGGGTCATTTGTCCTCTAGAATTTCCCAAATTCTGAACTGGGCTGATTGCATCTCCACGGTATCATTTAACATGTTTCTCTAACTCTTGCATTTCCTATCACATGGGAATTAGATCTAGAGGCTTGTTTTAAGCCTTTTTAGCAGACAGAGCTAATATATATATATAATATATATATATATTTAAGATTTTATTTATTTATTTGACACAGAGGGAGAGAGTACAATAGGGAAGTGGCAGGGAGAGGGAGAAGCAGGCCCCCGCAGAGCAGGAAGCCCGACTCGGGGCTTGATCCCAGGACACTGGAACCTTTACCTGAGCTGAAGGCAGACATCTAACCAACTGAGCCACCCAGGCACCCCATATATATTTTTTAAAGTGAAATAAATCATGAATTCATACTGATTTTTTTAACTCAAGTGTAAGATTATAGAGTTTTTACTTAATTTATTTAATGGTATACTGATGTCACTTACATAAAAAATCTTGGTTCCTAATAACATTAACATAATTTGATTTAGCTCCAGTAAAGTAACTCTAGCAAACCACTGGATATATCACACTAGGTATGTACGGTCAAAAAACTATTTTTAGGTTACTTTTTTTTTAAAGATTTTATTTATTTATTTGAGAGAGAGAATGAAAGAGAGAGAGAGAGAGAGAGAGAGGGGGGGGAGGGTCAGAGGGAGAAGCAGACTCCCTGCTGAGCAGGGAGCCCAATGCGGGACTCGATCCTGGGACCCCAAGATCATGACCTGAGCTGAAGGCAGTTGCCTTCAGTTGGTTAAACTGAACCAGGTGCCCTACCTTTAGGTTACTTAAGAAATATTTTTTTCCATGTTGTTATGCCACCAACCTGATATACAGTTAGAATCTTTTATTTATTTTTCATTTTTAGGTATTTATTTCTTAAATTTGTTTTAAATTATGTAAATTACTTACATGGGTTCCAAAGTCAAAATTGTATTCAGAAAACTACTACTTCCTTCCCTGCATAGGTGACACTTTATTAAAAACCAGTTTTAGAGGAACTTCGACTATGACAGCATGAAGTGCTCTATGGGCCCTATCCCCAGAAAAACTGGTTAAAATGGTAACAAAACAAAACAAAAACCCCCCACAATCATTTAAAGTTTTTGGAAATGGTCCTAAGGAAATTTAATAAATGAAGAAACATTTTTTTCAAAAACTCTACCAAAATTCAGTAGGAACAGTGAGAGATAATAGTAGTTGAACTGAGACCTTCTTCCTCCCTTTCCCCTCCCGAATCAGTGAGACCGAACCTCCACTCTAGACTGGTGCAACCAATAACACAGGTCTCCCTCTCCTCTCAGCTCACAGTCAGAGAGCTATCTTCTAGCAAGGGCTAGCACAGCAGCGTTTCTCATGCTGCCCCCAGCTACTGGCTGGTGAGGCTAAATTCCAAAGTGTTGCTAAGAAGTGGGACAGATGCTTTAATTTAAGCATGGCCTAGCGAGAATACTAGGGCCCTGATTGCCTTGCCCTGGCTCCTAAAGTGGTGGTTCCATGCAGGAAGAGGCCAGCCAAGAAGACCTGAGGTCTCTGCCTCCACTCGTCAAGTGCCCAGATCCTAAATTGGTGGTGTCACTAAATGAGTAGCTTGCTATTGTCTCCAGCTCCACAGCGTTGGCTCGGAGATTTTGCCTGGAGGGAGAAGCAGACTGAAAATGTACCTTTTAATCTCTTCCAACGTGTTGGCTTCACTTGCAATAGACTGTGGAGACCTCAAGC